ACACAACAACAAACAAGTTTAGATGGCTAAATCTGGGGTTCTTTTTCAGGGGTGGAGTTGCAACCCCAAGAAGTAACTATTCCAAGCTCTGCTTCTAGATGTGTTGTACTATTTCTCCCATCATTCCCCACTGGCAACGTGCCCAAGTGGTTGTGGATGATGGGTAATGCAGTCTGACAAGACACTCTTCTCTTCCCCTGCACCCACCCCAGTATGAGAAGCCTCACCAAATATATTATCTTGATATTTGTTTTTAAAAAAGAGGGAAAGCAACACAATTTTTAAAAAAAAAGTTGAAAAGGACACTACCTCCAGCCCAAACTTGTAGAAGGCATAGTTAACAAAATACTTGATGCAGTACAGCAGGCCTTTATCCAAATTTTCGCGATTGCCGTCCTCGAAGACCGTCTGGGTGGGTGGTGGCACCAGCTGGTGTTGCTTGCGGTAGTATTCCTGGCAGCGGTACACAATGGCTTCAAAGACCAGCAGGACCAATACCTGGAGATGGTTCTGGACAAGTCCAAAGACAGAAGACAGATGAGCAAAGCAGAGAGAGAAGACATATGGGAGCTGAGGAGTAAAGAATAGCTGTGAAGAAGGGGAAAAGCAAGAGAGGGAGGCAGAGGGAAGTACCAAGATGTAGCAGCCAACATACCTGGATGTAACCAAGGTTGGGGAACCCCTTCCGGATGCCAAACCAATTGGCGGGGTCAACGGGTCCCTTGTAGAGAGTGGAATTGCCGATCTCCTCCGGCTGGAGGTTGGTGCTGTTAAGCTGAGGCTACAGAGCAAGCAAAGTGTTTAGAAAGAATTTAGTATGATACAGCAATGCAATAAAATAGCACATTGTATGATATAATTAGGGTATATCTCATCAGGCCAGGATAGCTTGCTTCATCTAGTTCAGATGTTGCAAGCCAAAACCCTGGTGCCCCAATCTTGGTAAAGTGGACATGGATCTGGTGGATCCAGCCTGATCCCTGGGTTCAATTTGATCCTTGGTTTGCTGCAGAGTTTCCTGGAAACTCTGCAGCAAACTCCGGACTGCTGTCAGTCTCTCACATCTCTCAGCTGATCAAAGCAGTCCTTCTCATGGGTTGGCCTGGGAACTGAGCGGATCAGGACCCTGGAAGTGTTCCTATCAATACTGTCTCTGTTGTTAATATTATTTTCTTTTGGCCCGTCTCTCCTACCTCGGTGCAGTTGGTGGCATACTCTTGCGGGTTGACGATGTTCAACTGGTAGAGCATCTTGCAAACTATGATGATGCAAACCCAGACGGTGGAGAGGCAGGAGGCCATATGGCAGAAGCGGCTGTATGGGATGGCAAAAGCCCAAAGGACCACCAGCAGGAGGTTCATCACCGACACCTGGGCAAAAGGGATGAAAGCAAGATGGGACTGGCGTAACTGGAGCTGCATGCCTGCCATCGGGCTTTGGGCAGTCCTATCCACATAACCAGAGCTTTGACACATTATATATATATTAGACTATAGCTCCCAGAATCCTCCAGTCAGCCTGGGAATTCTGGGCACTGTAGTCCAAAAACTCATGTTTTCCAACTTAGAGCAGCACACAAGACACTAAGGTCCAGCATCCTGGGAATATTAGCTGCCTTTGTTAGTTTTGTTTTATTAATTTTTAATTAAGTTTTATTAATTTTCACCACCATATAAATATTCAAGATTCAATACACATAAATAAATGTATCTGTTCTCTACTTTATGGTTTCCTTTTTGTAGTCTTTCTATATAGACATAGGCTCTCCCAAGCATTACATTCCCAGAACTTTGCTATTACATCATATTTTTAAAACCAATTCTTATCATATTCCTCTAATTGATTATGTAAACAGCATCAAAAAGAAAAAAAAATCAAAGTTGTTTTCTTTTCTTTTTCTTCTTGTCCATCATGACACTTAATATTTCAAATTCCTAAGGGCTCATTTTATGTTTATCCATAATCATCCCATCTTATTAGCGGAACTTAAAACGTAAACTTAAAAATAAGTTTTGCCTATGCTAGTTTTAAAAGGTAAGCTTCTAGCCCTCCTGCGGCTGGGGAAAGCTTGGAAACGGGCCACAGGTGGTCTATCAAAGCTCTCATTGGAAAAGACTCTTTGTTCTCTTTCTTTCTTTCTTTCTTTCTTTCTTTCTTTCTTTCTTTCTTTCTTTCTTTCTTTCTTTCCTGCCTGGTCTCACCTCCTGCAAAGCCACCCAGATGATGTACAGGGCCACCAGCTTCAGGACATGCAGCTCCAGGAGACGCAGCACGAAGACGCGGAGGCGGTCCAAGATGTCCGAAAACTTCTGCCCCAAGACCATCAAGCGTTCCAGGACCAGGCCCCATTTGCTGGGCACATCCTCTGCGGCAGGAGAAAAGAGAAATGGCTTAGGGAGTTTGGTTTCTCTAAGCTTGGAGAAGACTGAGAGGTGACATGACACTATACTCAAAAAGCCAGCTTGTAACGCTCTTGGATGCAACACGTTCTAGACAGATATAGTTGGTTGCTTCCCGTGAGACTGATTCTCCTTGGCAAACTTGGAAGAGGACCTCTGCCTTACCTCCAGACCTAGACCCAGCTTCGTCTCCAGGATCATGGTCTTCGGCCTCTCCGTCCTCAGCCTGCAGCAGCACCCGGCTCCCACTGATCTCTTCATCCCTAAGAGTGAGAAAAAGGGCAACCTGAATTTTGCAGGTGTGTATCATCATCCTGTGGGGATGCTGGGAGCTAGACACACTGAATCCCTTCTGGACCTCTGCTTCTGCAAGTCTGGCACCCTCCAGATAGCTTGGACTCCATCTCCCATCATCCTCAGCCACCATGGTCCATGGTGGCAGAAGAAAATGGGAATTGTAATCCAACATCTGTAGGTTGCTGGGTTGTATTATTCTCATTCTTAACTTGTTTCACACTGAACCAGGTGTTATTATAGCCTGGAATTCCGGACCATCAATAATTCAAATGCCATCCAAA